GATTGATACAGTGGCTGCGATGATGGGCTCAAGTATTGCAGGGATTGTGGGGCTGGCATGAGATCGGGCAGTGTTTCGTTCTGCTGTGCATGGGGTCGCTATGAGTTGGAAACGACTCGACGGCACTTAACAACAACAACAACAACAAATAGTGCTGCAATAAACATGAGTATATATATGTCATGATAAACTTTTAACATTCTTTTATCTTAAAATTTATCAAGGTCTGCATGGTTTTATGACATAGAAAAATAGTCTTTTTACTTGAAGTTTATGAAAATATTTTCTCTTGTTTTCCAGTATTCTTATGGTTCCAATCTTTTTTGGGGTGTGTAGTAAATTGTTTAGACCTAATGTGAAGTTTATTTGGTTAAGAACTAATAAGGATGCAACTTTATTTTTTTCCCTAGAACATGACCAGTTACATATTTTAAAAATCAGTCTTTTACTTTGTGATTTGACATGCAACCTATATCATTATAATAAATTTTCATGTGTCTTTGGGTCTGTTTTTGAATTCTGTTCTATTTTATTGTTGTTGTTATATGCTGTTGAGTCGGCCCCCACTCATAGCGACCCCTCCTTGGGGTGCTGAGGCAGTATCACTTCGGAAGTAGATTGCCCAGCCTTCCTTCCAGGGAGTGGCTGGTGGGTTTGAACCGCCAGCCTTCTGGTTAGCAGTCAAGTGCCTTAGGCACTATGCTACCAGAGCTCCCTGTTTATCTAATCGTACACCACTGCCAAACTGTTAATTGTTACAACTCTGTAATGTTTTAATATTTGGTAGGCCTTGTGGCCCCACCTTTCCTCTTTTTCAGAATTTTCCTGGCTATTCTTACATGTTTGTTTTTTGATGTGAAATTTACAAATTGTCTGGTTCCCCCCCCACCCCCCACCCCCAAGTGTTATTAGAATAGTATCTTCATTATCTGGAACTATTATAACAGAAATGCCACAAATGGGTGGCTTTAAAAATATTCATTTTCTCACACTTTAGGAGGCTCGAAGTCGAAGGGTGCCAGCTCTGGGGGAAGTCTTCTGTCTACGTGGGCCCTAGAGAGGAAAGCACTTGTTTCTTTTTGAGCTTTGGCTCCTGGATGATCTTCATGTGACTTGGCATCTCTCTCCTTTGATTTCTGTTTGTTTCTCTCTCCCTAATCAGCTTGGTTTATCACTTTTATGTCTCAAAAAAGATTGACTCAACATACATCCTACACTAATCCTGCCAAATTAACATAACAAAAGCAACCCATCTCAAATGGGATTACAACCACAAAGCATGGAGGTTAGGATTTATAACACATATTTCTAGAGAAGCTCTGGTGGTATAGTACGTAGGGCATTTGGGTGCTAACTGTAAGGTTGGCGGTTCAAAAAAAAAAATAAAAAATAAAACCAAACTCACTGCCGTCAAGTTGGATCTGACTCATAGCGACCCCTTCCTTGGGTTTCTGAGGCAGTATCTATCTATGGCAGTATCTGAGGCAGTAGATTGCCCAATCTTCCTTCTGAGGAATGGCTGGTGAGTTTGAACCCCCAGCCTTCTTGTTAGCAGTCAAATGCCTTAGGCACTATTGCTTCTAAGGTAAGGCAATTTAATTTACTTCTGTAAAAATTCACAACTGACTCAATGACAGTGGTTTTGTTCCCCCTTTCCCCCCACCAGGGGACCCAGTTCAGTCCATAACAGATAGTATTTGGGAAGAATTGACACCTTTCTAATGTTGAATATTTGTATCCAAGAATAGAATGTTTTACTATTCAAGTTTACTTCCTGTTGTTGTTGTTATGTGCCGTCGTCAAGTCGGACCCGACCCATAGCGACCCCTCCTTGGGTTGCCGAGGTAGTATCACTACGGAAGTAGATTGCCCAACCTACCTTCAGAGGAGTGGCTGGTGGGTTTGAACCGCCAACCTTCTGGTTAGCAGTCAAGTGCCTTAGGCACTATGCTACTAGAGCTCCCAAGTTTACTTGCATATGTGAAAATTACTTTTTGATATATTTACTTTCTTGGATTCTTACTTTTAATCATTTTTCCAGGTGATTCTCTTATACTAGGGATATATAATCAATCTGAAATTGATAAATATTTTGTCCTTTTCTTCCCAGCTTTATGCATCATTTTTTTTTCTCTTGTTTAGTTGGCATCTACTAGTACTGCCAGACAAGTGTTTTTAGTGCTGATGGTGGGCATCTCATGATGTTTGGCTTGAGACCTGTATTTATCATGTTGAGGTGGTACCTGGCCATGCTATCAGAATTACCTTTCCTTTAAGGCAATAATTTGTTTTTCCTTCTTTATGACTATGTTGAATTACATTAATAAATTTGTTAATGTTGAATTATCTTTGCCTTAGTAGTATGAATCTCACTTAAGTCAGGTGTTTTATATACCTTTTTTAGATTCTGTTTAGTAATATATTATTTAGAGTTTTGTAGCAGTACATATAAATGAGATTAGTTGATGATTTTTTATTTTTGCCAGATGTTAGAATAATTGTTATACTGGCTTTATTATTTTTAAATATAACTTGAAATAGACTAATTGTATCAGTAAAGATTCATAGGTGGCAGTATTTTTCATTTTTTTTGGCTGTAACTGACAAATTTATATCATGATCTGTGTAAATGTACATGTAAATGAATGTAACAAGCACTTCACAACAATAATTAACCCTATCATTAATGATACACTCTTAATATTTTGTATTTCGTTTATTTACTTTTTAAAAAATGTTAGTTATAGTCCTACTAAGGGGTCACAAAGGAGCTCTGGTAGCATAGTGGCTAAGACACTTGCCTGCTAACCAGACGGCTGGCGGTTCAAACCCACCAGCCACTCCTCGGAAGGAAGGTTGGGCAATCCTACTTCCGTAGTGATACTGCCTCGGAAACCCAAGGAGGGGTCGCTATGAGTCGGGGCCGACTCGACGGCACATAACAACAACAACAACAACAAGGGGTCACAAACTGCAATTTGAAAAATAATGACTTAGGTTCCTTTTCAAAAAATAAAGTGTAATTGATTCATTAATTGTTGGTATATCATTGCTTCTTAAGATGATGATTATGAAAACCCTTTGTAAATTATATGCCACTATTGAAGTATGAATCATTTATTCAGCACACTACCTGGCATATGGTGAGTACTATATGGAATATGGGAGCTCTGGTAGCGTAGAGCCTATGGCACTTGACTGCTAACCAGAAGGCTGGCGGTTCAAACCCACCAACCACTCCTTGGAAGGAAGGTTGAGCAATCTACTTCCATAGTGATACTGCCTCTGAAACCCAAGGAGGGATTGCTATGAGTCGAGTCCATTTCCACAGCACATAACAACAACATATGGCATATAGTTTTCCTAATACTAAATACAGCCACTCCTCGGAAGGAAGGTTGGGCAATCCTACTTCCGTAGTGATACTGCCTCGGAAACCCAAGGAGGGGTCGCTATGAGTCAGGGCTGACTTGACAGCACATAACAACAACAACAACAATACTAAATAGATCTAAGTATTTTGGTCTTTAGAAATCTTCCTTCAGTATGCTTTATTAGCAGCTTTTCTTCTCCTGTTGAAAAAATTAGGAAAAGAATCTGTCTTGTGCCCTCCCAAATACAGTTGCTTGGAATAGTGAGACTTGACTATTAGTATATCACCAGTCATATAATTATGCTAATAAATTTTATATCTTTTCTGTTCATTTTGGTTTTACTTACTGATTTTCCATTTCAGGAATGTCTGAATCTGAACAGGCTCTTAAAGGTACTTCACAAATTAAATTACTCTCATCTGAAGATATAGAAGGGATGCGACTTGTATGTAGGGTAAGAGTTATTTTTTCCCATGGGGTAGGACGTACTTAAGCAGGCATTAGACAGGAACTCAATCATTTGCTGATTTATAAAGGTCTCAGATGTTATATTGTAAGAATATGACTAGTCATAATTTTCATTAAATTGTTGGTATGTAATTTTATGCAACAGTTGATCTCAAATAGCCTATTTGAAAATTTATATGGCAGGTAATCTATATTTAGTTGACAGGTTTTTTTTTTTAACCCCTTGTATTTTTTTAAAGAACCATATTTTTTGTGATATTTTGTCATTTTATTCTCACAAGTCATTATAACATGGGATAAAGTTTAATAGTTGTACAGGGTTTGGTTAAAAGTCTTGTGAAATACCTGTGAAGTGTGTAGCCACGGCTGGTACATATAAGCTGAAATAACGTTTTTATTTTTTCAAGGCAAAACAATTGGTATATGTAATGTTGTCATTTAGAAATAATCCTTAATGTTTTCATGTAATAATTTAAAAGTGATTTGATACTAGTTTTCTTTGATAGTCTTGAGGACTTTATATTCTTTTTCACTTATTTGCTGTGATTATTCGAGGAAATTCATTAATCTCTCCTTTTATTTCCTTCACCCTTCATTGTAGAAATGTGAGAAGACTCAACCTCTTTCAGTTGATTTTTGCTTAGATTGCTTCAAACATACATTTTCACATAGCAATCAGCAAAGCTTACTTTATTAAGCCCAATTAGGTAGATAGATAGATAGGTTTTTACAGATACAGATGTTTTGAAAATGAAAATTCTGGGTGGTACTATTCCAGGGTAGATTCATTTTCCCAATCTTCTGTAAAGTCTAAGAGAATAAAAAGGGTGCAGATTTCTGTATTCATTTTTTCTGGATATATTAAGTGTCTTTCTCTTACAGCTGGCTAGAGAAGTTTTGGACGTTGCTGCTGGGATGATTCAACCAGGTGTAACTACTGAAGAAATAGATCATGCTGTACACTTGGTGAGAAAACTGGACCTTCATACTTTGAAATAATTTTTCACATTATTAGCTATTTCAGAATTCTAAAAAATAAAGTAGACTTAAACTATGAAAGTCTAAAATAACTTCACTAAGCTATTTTCAAAGGAAATTTTTGTTTTGTTTCAAATATGGAAAACATTCAAGTCATAATTCCCATTTTTAAATATCTGTGATATTGAACTCTGAGATGAAGTTAATATCTTGTTTCTAAAAATCTCAAATTTCATAAGCGTTTTAGTTTTTTAATAAAATGATTAGTTTTACCAGTGTTTTATGTAAAACACACTATGGTCTCTTTGTACATGAAATATTCTGAAATGAGAAGAGGATGCATGCAGCTTACGCAGCCAAATGTGTGGGGAAAGTTTCCTTTTCATATCCATGATAAACAAGTCAAAACTCAGACTAGATATGCAGTAAATATGATATAGGGATATCCTTTTATACAGATTGCCTATTCCATCAATGAGAGACCTTAAGAGTAGTAGATAAGTGTACACATTATTTGACTAGAGTGTTGACAAAAGAAGAGATATAACTAATTAATAAAACACATGGAAAAAATGATTAAACCTGTTCTGGTAACAAAAACTCACTGCCATCGAGTCAGTTCCGATTCATAGTGACCCCTTCTTGGGTTTCTGAGGCAGTATCTCTATGGAAGTACGTTGCCCAGTCTTCCTTCCGAGGAGTGGCTGGTGGGTTTGAACCACCAGCCTTCTGGTTAACAGTCAAATGCCTCAGGCACTACGCCACCAATGCATTTGCAAACAATGCAAAAATACCTACTAAATTAGTGTGTGTTTTAAAGATGTTTATATACATGCTTGTGTGGATATGGTAAAAGTGATACTTTATTATTTATTGATGGTATTGTAAATGAGGACAACCCTTTTGAAAGGCAATTTGACAGTATGACTTGAGCTATAAAAATGTTTATAAATAAAGTTTAATATGGGATTCTTGATTGCAAATATTGTTCTGTATGTTGTCATTGTAAAATATACTGCATACAATAATAGCATTTTGACCGATTGCTATGTACCAGGTGCTCTTTTAAGTCCTTCTTTTACATCAACTCATTTAATCCCCAACAATCCCATGCAGTAGAGACATTATGTCCATTTTATAGATAAGGAAACTGAAGAGGCTAATTAACTTGCTCAAGATTATATAACTTGTAAGTTACGGAGTTGGTTGGCATTTTTTATCCAGGCAGTCTGATTTTGTGTGGCCTTAATAACTATTTATACTACTATGGAAAAAAAGCATTAAATGAGGCAAAACTACAGTCACAATGTTATTGGTGGTAATATTTTTTATAATTGAGGAAACTTAATTTAAATTTCTAATACTGTTGGAATAGCCAGTAAAATTATGGTATATTCCACAAATAGTATTATATGCAGCCATTAAAAAATTATTAGCTTGAGGACTTTGTGGCAATACTGAAAGACAAATTATGTGTGCTGTGATTTGTTGTTGTATGCTGTGGTTTGCTGCTGTTCTTGTGTGCTGTTGAGTTCACTTCAACTTGTAGCAGCCTAGTAGGACGGAGTCAGAGTGCTTCATAGGGTAGGGTTTTCTGGGTTGTAATCTTTATGTGAGCAGATTGCCACATCTTTCTCCCATTGAGCCACTAGTTGGTTTGTGCTGCTCACCTTTTGGTTAGCTGCTAAGTGCTTAACCACTGTGCTGCCAGGGTTTCTTACGCTGTGATTACCACTGTGGAAACACCCAAGTAAAATAAGACTTGTTATGGAAAACCAGACTGTTTCATAGAGTTTCTGTGTTCTTCCACATGAATGTAAGTGATTGTCTCTGGAATGTCTCTGGAAGTACTTTACCATTTTGTAACTAGTAGAGGGTCAGTGAAAAAGAGAAAGACCCTCAGTGAGATGGATTGACACTGTGGCTACAATGATGGGCTCAAGCATAGCAACAATTGTGAGGATGGCACAGGACCAGGAAGTGTTGCATTCTGTTGTATGTGGGGTCACTGTGTATTGGAACTGACTTGATGGCACCTAACAACAACATGTATTTCTTAACCAAAGGGACATAGATTTGTTTTTATATAAGAAATTTTAATTGCATTGAAAGAGCTTATTAAAATTTACTTGAAATATGATTTCTTTTTCATAAGGATTTTTAATTCTAAACTCAAAGAACCTTCTTATGTAACATTTGTATATATTTGTAGTATGTGAATTTGCTTTGTCAGTACAATCAACTGACACAAACCCTAGTGTATACTGTTTATGATTATATTCACTGTCATTTCTAAAATAAAATATTAAAAGAGTTCTTCAAGTTCTTTCCAACAGATTTTTCAAATTAAAAACCTGATTTATGAGACTCACAAAATTACATAAAAATGTTTTCTTTTGCATATTCTAAATTTTTTTCTCTGTATTTTACTTTACTTTAGGCATGTATTGCAAGAAATTGTTATCCTTCTCCCCTGAATTATTATAATTTCCCAAAGTCTTGTTGTACCTCAGTGAATGAAGTTATTTGTCATGGGATTCCAGACAGACGGCCCTTGCAGGAAGGTGATATTGTTAATGGTAAGAATATATAAGAATAACTTTTGTCACCATGAGCAAAGAAATAATGTTTTAAGAGTCTGATAAAAAGAAGTATGTTTTCTTGATTTGCTTCTTACATTTTTGTGTTTTCATATGTAAACTTTAGTGTCAAAATTCTGTAGGAACTTTTAAAGTATTTCTGTGCCTATTGCTTTTACTGACCTATATGATACAGTATGCATTTTTTAAATGCACATTATCTCATATATGATTGGTAAATGTAGATGCCAAGTTGTCAGCATATGTGGAAGTCATTTTGATTTAAGTGTAATTTTTTTTCCACCAGTCTGCTAATAGTTTTGAATGGATCAGGGTAGGTATTCTTAGAGTTAAAGAGAAACCCTTAATAATATGTGAAGACTTGGAGGAGAAAAGCTAAAAATCCTATAGTAGTGCCTTCCTTTAGTGTAACAAGTTCAGAAAATGGCTTTAGGGACCTCTAGTTTAGTTCCCTTTAAAGCTGGAAGTGCAGAGAAAGAAGAAGCTGCAGGATCTGCTAAATTTTATTTATATATATAATATATGTACATATTTATAAGTTTTGAAAGATAATTTTATGTATTTTGTTGTTGAGAATATACAAGGAGAACATACACCAATCCAAGTTTCTATATGTACCATTTAATGACGTTGAATATATTCTTCAAGTTCTGTAACCATGATCACTGTCCTTTTCTGAGTTACTCCTCCTCAGTAATATAAATTCATTGATGCTTAAGGATCTTATGAAATCATTTGAGTTGCTGTTAGTTTGATAGATAGTTTTTATTTTTTTCTCTTTTCCTTTTTTTTAAATTTTAATTTAATTCACTCCCCATTTACCATCCCCAACCCTAACCCAGTCTCCTCCCCTCTCTGCCCAGTAACCTCTGCTCCCCCTGTGCCCCTCATAGTGATGCACTCCTGTGTGTCCTGCATTTCCTCTGTGCGAATGTTGCCCCTCTGGTGCCCCATGGTTGATTGCTCCAAGGGATGCATTTCCATAGAGTATGTGGGTGTGTCATCCTGGGTTGAGTGGTCTGCTTGTACATCTTGTTTACTATTGGGCTAAGAGCCAGCCCCTGGGAGTGAGTTTTATTCCAGGCCCAGAATGTATCCCAGGACCGTAGTATTGGGGATTTCACCAGGCTCCATTTGACCAGTTATTCTGGTCCTTATTGAGTTTTTGAATTTTGTTCCACGTTTTTCCTCCCATAGAATAGTTATTAAAAGAGCATAATGCTCAAGGTAGACAAGCTAAACTACTGTTTGGTTTTAAGAAGACTTCAGGGGATACTTTGGTTTAAGGTTTAAAGATTGTCTCAAGGCAGTAGTTTAAGGGGTTCATTCAACTTTCATGGCTCAGGAATATCTGGAGTCCATGAAAATTTGAACTTCTATTCTGCATTTTCCCCCTTTTGATCATTATTCTTCTATGGGCACTGTCCATTTTTTCTGGTCTCATGGCAAAGGAGATAATTTTCATGGAGGCAAGTAGCCACACATTCCTTATCCTCCTCTTGTTCCTGACTCTCCTTCCTCTGTTGTTCCAAGTGAATAGAGACCAGTTGTTGTGATTGCTGTGCCTTGGGTGGGTGCTTGCAAGCTTTTAAGACCCCAGCACAGTGCATTGAACTTGGAAGGTAGAACAGAAGCACTGAGCATGTTATTAGACCAATTAACTGGAATATTCCATGAAAGTATGATCTTAAACCTCCAAAGAAACCAAATCCCATGAGATTTTTGATTGTACATAAGCAGCCTCGGCAGCTACTTTTTTTTTTTTAAATAGAGATACTATTATTGAGCCTTAGGTCAAAGACAATCATCTAGAATGAGGGAAACCATCGCATGTGTCCAGCATAGTGGCTGAAAGGGATCTGCTAAGTCATGGCCATGGGGCTAATTGTATATGATTGAAAGCAAAAGGAATCATCACAAAATCATGATAGTTGGCAGATTGATTCATCACTGTTGCAGGCAGGAGTGCAGAAGCAGGGAAAGGACCATGATTGGGATACATACGTAACTGAAGATAGCAAAGAGTTACAGGATTTTTTCTGGGCCTTGACTATCTGGCTAGGTGGTGGTCTAGATAGGACTCACAACTATACGACCTGAATCATAGCCACAGGGTGACTACAAGTGGGAGCTGTGGCTATGAGATGATACCAGGACCCCAACCTTAATTTAAATTAGAAAAGGACACACTCAAACAAGTTCTGTAGTCCTTTGTGTGAGTGTATTTTACTTTCAGCTATACTCTTCCTGAGTGAAAATTGCCTTTCTCTAGGTTTGTCCTGGAGCTTATCTATGTATAACCACAAAGTTGGTTTTTAAGGTCAGAAAGAACTTTCTTAGGTCAAGACTCATAATGGATTTAGGGCTCCCACTATAGACCATTGTCTTCTACAAACCCAAGTGCTTTGCGATTTAAGCTCTAATACATTCTCTCCTCTGATCATCGATTTTATTTAAAATCCTTTGATCACACTTAGGTTGGTGTTTTTCTTCTGCATGGACTGCTTTTTTTTTTTTTTTTAATTGTGATTTGGGTGAAAATTTACAGAGCAAATTCACTTTCCATACAGCAGTTCGCATACACTTTGTCTCATGACATTGACCACAATGCAACAGCTCCCCTCCCACTTTCTCACGACAGTCACCTCTTCCCTGTGCTGCATGGACTGTTCGATGGCTTCTTTAGACGGCTGCTTATTTTAGGACAAGCTTTTAAGACGCCCGGCACTATCCTTTTTTGATAGCCAGGCATCATCTAATTTCATCAGCGTGCTTTACTGTAGCTCCCAGTCTTCAGTGATCATCTATCTTACGAGGGCAAGTATGGAGCAGTGCCATATTGGAATAACTACTTGACCTGTGGTTAGGCTACAGAGCTTAAAGTGGGAACTCAAGTACATACATAAAATATATTTTCAGTATATATGACTCACCTAATGTGCACCATATTAGCTTCCTAAGAAATTACAATAGAAATAACTTTCATACAATACTTGATAGTCCTAATGAAGCAATATACTTCCATAAAGATCACTGCCTGGGAAACCCAGTGGGAGTCGCTATGAGTCAGAACCGACTTGATGGCGTGAGTGAGTGTGCGAGTGAATAATACCACTAACCCAGTGAGTAGTATGGATTAAAATACGAATGAGAAAATTACAAAGTTTCCCAGTTAACGCATGGAGAGGGTTACCTACACAAATTAATAAAACTTAAGTGATAGAACAAACTATTTAAAAATGATGAGGGTTAGACATAAAGCAATAATGCCAATAACATTCATTCACTAAAGGAAAGCTATTGGTTTACAGAACCTAAAGGCATATAAGACAAAAGTAATAAATGTGAAAAGATACAGCAAATCTAGCCAGTTCTTATCAGTCATATAAACCCAAGTTACCAACATAAAGAAACTTCAAAATCAATAAAGATTTAAACAGAGCCCAATGATCTTGGAAAAACTTGTCTGCTTCTGCCCACTGTGGCATTTCAAGTCCAAGTGAGTGCTTCAGTTCCTTTAATCTGTGACAAATGTATCTTAACGTTTAATACCTTAATTCATGACTATAACTTCAAGTCTCTGGCTTGAGGTGGAAGTATTTCCCCAGGCTTTTCCAGATGTAATTTCTGTTTTGGCTTTGGAAAGTTCTCTCGCAATGGAGAGAATCATCCTGTATTTTCCCCTTGATGGAGATCCATCCAATTTTCTCAAAATTATAGTAAAACAGCATTTTTCCTTATTCCCTTTTGTCTGAAAAGTCTATACTTAATTTGGGAAGGGTCCTTCAAAAGCTTCCTTAAGAGGTGCATGACTCAGGAGACAGACTATGGCCAGAGAAGCCTGATCTTGCCTTTCCCTCCCTACCTTGGGCTTGCATTCAAAGACAAGAATTGTTGTTATTATTGTTGTTTTGTGCTGTCGAGTCGGACCCGACTCATAGCAACCCCTCCTTGGGTTTCCGAGGCAGCATCACTATGGAAATAGATTGCCCCATCTTCCTTCCGAGGAGTGGCTGGTGGGTTTGAACCGCTAGCCTTCTGGTTAGCAGTCAAGTGCTTAGGCACTGTGCTACCAGAGCTCCTAGATCATAGTAATTCATTTACATGTTTAAAGGCAAAAGATAACCAGGTTACTAGTTTCACTTAAAGATACATTATTTTCCATAAATAAAACAACATTCTGTAATATTTAACTTAAGCTGTTTGGCAAGATTTCACCTTCAAGTTTGTCATAAACACAAACTTTTGTCAAAATAAATTCATTTAATTAATTCTTTGTAATATTAGTACTACCTAATTCATAAAAGCATCTATCATTAGACCAGATCTGAGCAAGTTCCTTTAAGAAATATCTAATTTAATAATACCATCTGGAGGTAAAAATTATATGTATTATCCTAATTTGCTTCTTTTTAAGGCCTTTGTCAAAATTTAAGGCCTATACCAATCAAAATAAACTACTTCTTTTCTGTGTACTTTTCAAATGAACCAGTTTGTATCAAAGTTTCTTAGAGTAGCTAAGCCTAATTCCTAAGACAGTTGGAAGAAGCGGTTTTATTTGGAGCTGAGGCTTAGAGCACCCTTATGACATTATGACAGCACACAGAGGAAGATAAAAAGGACACCCAGATTGAATGCTCTCTTTAGAGTATAACTAAAATCCTCAAGATAGAATCTCATCCAGTTTTCTAGGTGACCCACTACAGATATCATCCAGGTAGATGCCACCTTGAGTGAGAACCACACTCACTGGTCTCTGACATTAGTTCAAACAACAAACTTAAAAGGTTTCTGCCTGTGGTTTTTCTTAGGATCTTCCATTTTATGATAAACAATAACATTAACATTCTTAAAAGAGCATAACACAAAACAAGGCATCACACACACATTCACAAGTAGCTACATAATTTCTAGCTGTTTCACTTAGGTCAACCGATCTTAAAATTACCAGAGCTCTCTCGGAACTAGTCTGAGAACCC